TAAGCAAAGCTAGCTGCAATAAGAAGAAAATTAAAGTTGGTAGATTTATTTTCTACCTAGCTAGTACTATATCTTTGTTCAGAATCATCATGATTGACCAAAATGGTGATGAAAACAGTAGTACTATATCTTGTTCTTTTCTTTCTTTTTGCTTGAGTATGACAGCACTTGATACAATGTATTTGTGTGGTTTTTGGTATATGATAAGTATTTCTGCTAACTATGAATATATATAATATATATATATATTCTAGCTGTGTGAGTGAGAGTGCGTGTGCACCCGTCTAAGCATCAAGCTACAGGCATGGTGCTATTATTGTGAAAGAGAGATAAAGGAAGAATATAGGGGAAGGGGAAAGGAAGGAAGAATTGCGTCCATGTCTATTAAAGAAAAAGTAATTGGAAAAGGAAAGGAAATTTGACAAAGATGGGGATAGGAAGAAAGCAGTAGTGACTGTACGTAGCGGTATTCTTGGAAGTGAATGGATATGAACAACTTGTTATCGTGCCCCTTCACGTGATTTCACCTGACACACACACTGAAAAACCACCCTCTCTCTAACCTCATTTCCACAACCCTAGCTAGACCCATCCCCCCTACCCCCTTAAATAGATATAATGTGGTATCTTAATGAGATATACCACACTATCAACTGATGTGGTATAGCGGATGAGACAATTTATTTCTTAAATAAATATTTTGCGTTCGAGTCCCTGAGTATGGAAAGATCATTGGTAGGAACCGCATAGCCTATTCGGCGCAAATTTGAATTAACTGAACTTCAATGTGGGTAACAAACGTTGGATGGAAAATCCAAAAGAAAAAAAAAAAAAGAGATATAAGATATTCTACCCTTACCCATAGGTTTCAGATTTAAGCCTTGAGTATGAAAAAAATGAAGCCTATAGTGTGATTCGAATATAGTCGGACTCCAATGCGGACACCAGGGAGAAAAATAAAAGAGAGATATACAATGCTTGATTTTATTTTGCTCATATAAAACTTGGGATCACAATTTATTTGTTGTTTCATATCAACTTAATTTTAAACTCAAGAAATGAAACAAAAGAAAGGTATTGAAAACACTCCCTAAATTCAGTGTGAATTATTAGTTTTATCTCCGAATTATATATTGACATTCTTAAAAATACCGTTTTACTTGACTAACTAAACTTAAATACACTTCAATCTTGCAACATGAGTCAAATACACACCTAAGATCTTGTTAAATTTAGTAAAGTTTTCAACCCTTCTCCACCTTTTATTAAGAGTCATATGTTCCGACAAGAGTTTGAAATCATTTGTTATGTTATGTGGCAGATCAAAGAAATATCTAAATTTAGTGACTCAAGTAAAAGAATGTTTTTAAGATGGACGAAACTATTGATTTATACCAAATCGAGGTATGTTTTTTATTCTTCTTAAAAAGAAAGGCTAGGTCGCAAAATTAAAGCATCATCATTTTTCTGTCAAAGTCGTCGATCATAATCAATAAGTAAATTTAAATAACAGCTTGCATGGTACCTTTCTGCCCTTGAATCTCACCTGTAAAGGAGAGGAGAATAATGGCTACTGCGTTTGAAACTACACGTGCTTTTGTCTAACCTGGATAACGACAATTCTCTTTTTATTTCAGTTGAGTAATAACATAAACCCCAGCAATTCATTGAATATGAAACCTAGACTAAATAGTGGGGAGCTAAGATTTTTATTTTTAAAAAAAATTAATATTTTTTTCGTCTCAATAATGTAAAGAAGAATATTCGTCTCAATGTCTCAATTTATGAATAGATATTTGATTCTACACAATCCCCCATAGAAAATTGTCACGGTCGGACTATACTGACTTGTGATGCATTGGGGTTTGACCTTGATCCCTACCGGCCATGACAAATAGTAACAACAAGAAAGGAGGGGATGGAGCATGTACCTAACCTCTAAAAGGCCAAGAACAGAAGCTAACCTTTTATTAAAAGATTTTTGAAATTTATGATCTAAATTCACAAATATTTGTGTGATTTCAAATTAATCTTGGTAAAAAAAAAAACTTTTATTCTTTTTTTAGATCAACTAAAAAAAATGTATCACATATAAATTTATATAAACCCTTTGCATATCTAGCTCCGCGCCCTCACTAGGGAGTGATGAAGGTCTGAATTGCCCTTTGAGAAGAATGCAACTTTTGACCTTAGAGCATGTCACTTTCACTAAAAAGAGAACCCTATCTCTTCCCCCAACTCACCCACCTACCTTTTTCTCCATTCCTCCGTACTATCTCTTCCCATCAACTACATGACTTCTTTGGCCCCAACTCTATATGTTAGTATTGTGAAGTGAGAGATCAGTGACAGAGATGGTTTTGCCAAAATTGCTTTTAGATGTACAGTATACTACATTCCCCAATACCGGGCATCCCCACCTGCCCACTCAACTTTAATTAGCAGTAGATCACAACTTTGATAAAATCAGTAAATTCAGTATTTGAACTTTATGACTCCTCTACACATATATACAAAGTTTAAACTAAAATTAGTAGATTTAATCAAACTCGTAACTTCTGTTGTGCATCCGCCCTTATTTGCAGGTTTGCGAGAACCAAATATATAAATTTAGTATACTTTCTCCGTTTAAAAAAAAATGATATAGTTTTTTTTTTTAGTTTGTTTCAAAAAGAATGGCTCCTTTCCTTTTTTGACAACATTTTAACTTCAATTTTTCACGTGACATGTTTAAGACCACAAGATTAAAGGGTATTTTGATACATTTGACATAACTTTAATTTAGAACCACAAGATTAAAAAGTCTTCTTTCTTTTCTTAAACTCCATTTCAAGTCAAACTAGATCATTTTTTAAAACAGGTGGAGTATTAGAATTCACAACATTAATATTTAAATTCTCTGGATCGGCAACCTAAAAATTTGTGCTATAAAACATGATTTTCCCACCGAATCAGCTTTCTGAGAAAATGCATGATAAAAAAACAGATTCTTACTAAAATAATGAAAATCTTCCTAATTTTTTCATATGAAAACATTGCTTTTTTTTTATTCCTTTCCTACCGATTCAATTAAAGTATTTGTAGGAATTGCCATTGAACCATTTGCAGAAGGAAAATGGTGATTTTTTTAGCAGTGACGTACATCTCTAACTAGATAATTAACTTAAAACTGTTTTTTTGTTCATCAATTTGCTTTGTGCTTGTACTTGTCAAAGATGTTTACAAGTCGTCCTTTGAAACCCTAACCAATAAGTCCTTTCTCAAATGGTGAAAGTCCTTTCCACAAGTGTAAGAATCCATTTAGCACGGCATGAACTCTTTTTTTTTTTGGTTTTCCATTTGGTGTTTGGAATCTACATTGGAACTCCGATTAAATTTACATCGCGCACTGCAGGATCCATTCGGGGGTAGAGCTCCTAACAACATTTTCTCCATATCCAAAACACAAACTCAAAACCTCTAATTAAGGGTGAAACACTTTCACCAGTGGACCACAACCATGTTGGTGTCTTTAACTCTACTTTCCATATATACATGCCGCATTTGTAAACACTTCCATCGCTTTTCACACAAGCCCAAAATAGGGCAGACCAGGGGAAGGGTTTTTATTTGTCCAATTTTATAGTTTAGAGTATATGTGTATTGATCAGCAGTTATAGGACCACAGAAAATGTGGGGTTATTGTTCAGAATTTAAGATAACTATGAACAAAAAAATGAGGAAGATGAAATGCACTGGCGTGACAATGAGAGCCTATGAAGCCTATATATATATATATATATATATATTTAGAGGTCGCTTGATAGCTGGTTAGAAGATGATTTATTCATGTATTAAATTCTAATGTACCATGTTTGGAATTGTTGCTATAAATTTAAAAAAAAACACAACAAATATAGTGTTTGGTTAGCTATTTAAAATCTAGCATAGCAAATCCCTTCATAACTATTCTTTACATTATTAATACCTACCTAACTATAATCATTAACGATAGAGAATACCCTTTAGTGCTTTCATTTCCACGGATAAAGAAATAAATTAAACTTAAAATAGCATTGTTCTTTTACATTTACTGTAGACTATAGTACCTTTCTTTTGCTCTTAGATTCTACCAAAAGCCAATATTGATTGGTGTAGAATTAGTACCTGCTTTGAGACATACGTCTACGGCTCTACTTTTGTCTTTAATTTATGTCCCACCCTTTTGATGTGAAATTTATCATTAACTTGTCGCTAAATAGCTTATTGCTAATATTTATTCCGTCTCAACTGATATTTCTATTCTATAGAAGAATGAAGCCTAGGACGATCAAGGGCAAAATAGTAAATTTAACCTGACAAATACACACTCTGCATCCTTCTAGAACACTCAATAATAAGGTTTTTATTGACATAGAATAAAAAGGAAAGATTTAAAGATTTTTTGGTCTAAAGTAAGTGATAGATCACGTAGATATAATATAAATAATCTCATTAAGCATAAATTAAGAAATTTAAAATGAAATTGTTACTAAATATTAAAAGATGTTTTTTTTAACCGACTAAAAAGTAAAAAATAGCATAAACATTAGGACAAAAAAAATGAGTTTTTGATAATCTGTTGCTAATCCATTCATAAATAAACTTAGCGACGGATTTTTAGTTTTGCTTAGCGACAGATGATATTAAATGTATGGTGTTGGCAAACATAATTTCCACTCATCTATTAGCTGCAGAAAGAAAGAAATGAAGAAGAGCATGTTAGCAGCACACTATATCAACATAGGAGGGAATAAAATTAGTTAGGTTGTTAGAATATTTCTACAAGATTTACGCAAGTGTATAACTGTGATTTTTCTGTATTTCCCTTTTTCTTATTATCCTGCACAGCATACTTGTATATAAAGATTGAAGATGATGATCAATAAAGCATCAGAAAATTTCCACAAACGTCTCCTACATTTCCTACATGGTATCAGAGTAGTAAGCTCGGTCCAATTCTCATTCACTCATCATCTACAATGGGAGATTCTTCATCACCCTCTAATAATTCTGGAACCATTGTTGCACCTGCAGCATCTGCTATGGACTCCAGTCACCCCTATTATCTTCACCCCTCTGATTCTCCTGGAATGAACCTCATAAGCACTGTGTTTGATGGACGAGGTTTTCCTGGTTGGAGGAGATCGATCTTGATAGCTCTTTCAGCTAAGAGGAAGCTAGGCTTCATCAATGGCACCTGTCAAGCACTAGTTTCCGATGCTTCTGATTCTTCTCAATGGAATTGTTGTAATGACATGGTAACCTCTTGGTTACTCAACTCGTTGTCTAAAGAGAATGAAGATAGTGTCATTTATTCCAACTCTGCTAAGGAACTTTGGGATAGCCTCGAACAAAGGTTTGGAAAGTCTAATGGTACTAAGCTTTTTCACCTTCAAAAGGAACTTAATGGATTAGTGCAAGGTAATTCTGATATATCATGTTATTTCACTAAATTGAAACATTTATGGGATGAGTTGGACTCTTTAAATGCAGATATTACATGTTCTTGTGTCTGCGTTTGTAATGGAAAATCCAAAATCTCTAAGTCTTTACAGGATCAAAGACTTAGTCAGTTCATAATGGGTCTAAATGACACCTATGGTCAAGCCAGAGGTACCATTCTAATGATAAATCCACTTTCAGGGATGGATCTTGCATATTCTCTGTTATTACAGGATGAAAATCAGAGGAAAATCTATCAACATACTCAAACTGCTCCAGACTCATTTTCCTTCATTGCAGTAAATCATGGAAATCATAATCATAGTTCTGGTTCTCCAAATCTTAGAAATGGAAATGGTAATCAGAATTTTAGAAATGGATATAGTGGTCAGAAGTCTGGTGTCTATCCTCAGAAACCTGATTTTCTTTCTCAAAGATCTGGCATCAATACACAAAGAACCAGAGGGAAGAAAAGCAAGTACAACCCAAATGTTACCTGTACATATTGCTTCAGAACTGGACATGTCATGGATGATTGCCATAAACTGCATGGGTACCTTTAGGATTTCGAGTTCACTAAAGGGAAAAACTCTATGATCAAAGGGATTGTAGTTTTTGCAGGAGAGGACAACTCTTATCAGTCTTCTAAGGAATGAGGGACAACTAACTTTCAACACTTTACTAAGGAACAAATGGCAGAAATCACTCAAATGGCGAAGAAAATGCAGATGTCTCAATTAATGCCTTCAACATAGATAAATGTCAATGGTGTAGTTGGTACCATCCTTAAATACTCAGGCACATGTTTTTCAGTTTTTAATTCTGCAACTTGGATTATTGACTCAGGAGCATTAGAACACATGTGTTTTGAAGTTTCTTCTTTCTCCTTTATGAAATCCCTTTTTGTTCCCATTAACATTAGTTTATCTAATTCTTTCAAGGTAACTGTCACACATATATGTAGTGTTTCTATTCTGCCTAACCTTACTCTAACCAACGTCCTTCATGTTCCTGATTTTAAATATAATCTTTATTCTATACATAGGTTGTGTGATCAAATCAACTGGAATGTGTTGTTTACTTCTAGTGCATGTCTCTTGCAGGACCTTCTAATGAAGAAAGTGGTAGCTTTTGGTGAACTTTGAGAAGGATTATATCTTCTACAACCAATTAATTTTAGGTCATATTAAATTTTGTCAAGCAATCTGTCTTTTTTTCAAAAGGAAGCAATTCCAGTTTTATTCATGTTTCTTGTCCTATTCTTTGTGATGCTCTTTCAAATGTAAGCCTTTGGCATATGAGACTTGAGCATTTTCCCCTATCAGCAATGAAATTGTTTAATTTTATCAAGCATTCTTCTGATTCTACTCTTATTTGTCATATTTGTCCTCAAGCTAAACAAACTAGGTCCTCATTTCCAACTAGTTCAGTCAAAGTTAAAGGAACTTTTGACTTAATTCACATTAATACTTGGGGTCCTTATAAACATGCTACTCATAATGGTTACAAATATTTCCTTACCATAGTTGATGACTATAGTAGAGGAATTTGGACATTCTTATTGAGCACTAAAAACAATGTTTTTTCCGGTTTTAAAGACCTTTTTATCCATGGTCGAAAGACAGTTTAACAAGAAGGTTAAGTGTATCAGGTCTGATAATGCTTTGGAACTTGGCAAAGGAACCCTCGCAGCTGCTTATTTGCAAGAACATGGCATTTTACATCAACAAAGTTGTGTAGCCACCCCACAACAAAATGGGGTGGTAGAAAGGAAACATAGACATCTTTTGGAGGTTGCTAGAGGTCTGTTTTTTCAATCCCATGTTCCCATTTCTTATTGGGGTGAGTGTGTTCTAACAACTACACATTTAATCAACGTTTTTCCTTCAAAGGTTTTACATGGCAATACACCTTATGAAATCCTCTTTCACCAGCCACCTTCATACTTTTCTTTAAGAACTTTTGGTTGTCTTTGTTATTGTTCCACCTTATCTCAAGGAAGGAGTAAATTTGATCCCCGAACTACGAAATGTGTTTTCTTAGGCTACCCTCATTCCTAAAAGGGGTACACAGTCATGGACCTCACCTCTAAGAAAACATTTGTATCCAGGGATGTCATTTTTTATGAAAGTCAGCTCTCTTTTGCTACATCTTCTACCTCATCCTCTCAATTTTTTACTCCGTCTCCCTCTTATTTTAATGTTCTAGATCAACCCTTTTCTCCTCTCACTTTCAATAATCACATATTTTCTTCTGTTCCACCACCACCTTCCTCTTCTAACATTGTTCATCCTCTTTCACCAGACCCTGTCATCCCTCATATCCCTTCTCCTAGAATATCAGAAAAGGCTTTCTCACAAACCAGGTTATCTTAAGGATTTCATATGCAATAGTGTTTTTCTCTCTAATCTTACTGACTCGTGCTTTTCTTCCCTTCCTCCTACTCAAGTATTTCTTTTAATACTCTGTATGTTCCTAATCAGCACCAATTTTACTGAACCCATTAGTTACTCTCAAGCTGTTGCACACTCTGAATGGGTATCTGTTATGGCTGCAGAAATTGCAGCTCTAGAACTCAACGACACTTGGGAAGTTGTTTCACTTCCTCTAGGAAAGAAGGCTTTACCTTGTAAATGGGTATACAAGATTAAACTTCTTTCTGATGGTTCAATTGAAAGATTTAAAACTCAATAGGTGGTAAGAGGGGATATTCAAAGAGAGAGAATTGACTACAATGAGACTTTTTCTCCTGTTGTCAAAATGACAACCATCAAGTGTCTCTTAGCAGAGGAAGTAAAGAAAGATTAATTGGAAAGTTTCACAATTGGACGTCAATAATGCCTTCTTACATGGTTTATTAGAGGAAGAAGTTTTCATGAAATTCCCACCCGGGATTATTCCTCCATCACCTACCCATGTTTGTCTTCCTTAAAAATCATTGTATGATTTGAAACAATCTTCTCGACAGTGGTATTCTCAACTTGCTGGTGCTCTAAGCTACAAGGGGTACACTTCATCTATGAATGACTACTCTCTATTTTTTTAAAAATCCATAGGCCTTATCTTTATTGTTGCAATTTATGTGGGTGATATTCTTTTAACTGGTGATGATCTTCATGAAATTGTTGAAATCATGTATTTTCTCAAGGTTGTATTCAGGGTAAAGGATTTAAGGGACATTAATTACTTTCTTAGTCTGGAAATTATTAGAGAGAATCAAGGTTTTATCATCAGTCAACGCAAATTTGCTCTTGACTTTCTCAAAGAATTTGATACTTCCAATGTTTCCTCCGTTACTTCTCTTTTGGTTCCTTCTATCAAACTACATGCAGATGTTGACATACTTCTTTCTGATCCTACCACTTACATACGTTTAGTAGGGAAATTGAATTATCTGACACATACTCGTCCAGACCTTGCTTTCCCAATGTTGAAACTCAGTCAATTTATGTCGCGGCCATGCCACTCTCATTACTCTGCTGCTCTTCGTGTATTGAAATATCTGGCTTTGGGTCCAGGGCAAGGGATTCTCTTATCGTCTGCTCCTTCCCCATCTCTGAATGCTTTTTGCTATGCCGACTGGGCATCTTGTAAGGATTCTCGTCGGTCGATTAGTAGATTCTTCATTACCCTTGGTGGTTCCCCATCTCATGGAAATCAAAGAAGCAAGGTTCTATTTCCCTTTCTTCAGCAGAGGCAGAATACAAGTCCATGAGAAAAGGCACTGCCGAGATAACTTGGCTCATCTGTTTACTAGAGGATCTTTCAGTCCCACCATCATTACATGTTCTTATTAACTCCGATAGTCAAACTGCGATTCATATCGCCCACAACCCTGTTTTCCATGAAAGGACAAAGCATGTGGAACTTGACTGTCACTTTGTTCGACAACAATATGCATCTGGGTTGATCTCTCTTCAGTTCGCTCCTTCAAAGCTCCAACTCGCGGATATTTTCACAAAGCCTCTTTCTGGCACTTCCCATCATAGCATTTTATCCAAGTTGGGGGTTTCTTCTCTCCCCTCCAACTTGAGGGGGTATGTTGGCAAACATAATTTCCACTCATCTATTAGTGGCAGAAAGAAAGAAATGAAGAAGAGCACGTGAGCAACACACTATATCAACATAGGGGGGAATAAAATTAGTTAGGTTGTTAGAATATTTCTACAAGATTTAGACAAGTGTATAGCTGTGATTTTTCTGTATTTTCCTTTTTCTTATTTTCCTGCACAGAATACTTGTATATAAAGATTGAAGATGATGATCTATAAGGCATCAAAAAATTTCCACAAACGTCTCCTACATTTCCTACATATGGTTTTTAATAAAGTCCATATATTTTTAAGTGTTCTCATACTCTAGTGCTTCATAATAGTAACAGATAATAAATGGAGTGGCTTTTAATAATAATCTTTTTTTTTGTCAGCTCAATATTGTCTAGAATTAATTTATTTATATATCCTTCTTTTTCACACGTAAAAGATTTCTTCAGCTAGAAGACCTGGTATATATTACTATTGTTTTACAGCATTGGTCAATATATGCCATTTTTCTTGGTTTTTGTGCACATTCAAACATTTGTTGTAGCTGCAGTGCTGTAGTTGAGTTGGCTCAATTTAGAAAATGACTAATCATATAAGGAGCACAAAGAGAAAACGGAGTGTTGCTAATATATAGAATTGATTTCAACTAAATTATTATCTCAAAAGTCATTACCACTTTTTTGTTAAAAGAAATTTGAAATCCAGAAGAAAAATGACTTCCTAAAATATAATTAGTTGAATAGAGTTAGAAGCTTAAATAGTTATTCAACTTTGGCTAAATCAAAGCTGAGGGAGTGTTTAATTTTTAAAACATAATTGTATAGAAATCTCAACTATTAAATTTAAAGTTATTAACGGTTGACAACTCATAAAATATTTGTAAGTGAAAAATAGGTTGACTCTCAAAATTCAGACGATATCACATAGATTAAGACATATAAAGTAAGCTAATAAAATATTTGCAAAGGAGATCAACTCTCAAAAATCAATTTGTGCAACATAGACTGAAACATATGAAGTAACTTTAAATTTTTCTGCCTAAATTTAACGGAGCCAACAAACAATAAGTTGTACGTCCAAATTAAGTGTAATAAAATGTGCCCCAAAAAGGGGATAGATAGCTATACTATTTAACAAGGTTCTCCAATTTCTCATTTGATCTTTCCTCAAATTACTGTTGTGTGCTTTTTACAACAAAAAAGAAGAAGAAATTAAAAAAAAAAAAAACAAGTTGTTGCATAGGGCTTGCCTACTGCGAGTAACCTCTCTTTTGTGGTTTGCACACTATTACAAAGAAAATGAGGATTTTAGTTTTTACCATGTGTGCACTCAAATGATAGCGATTATGATTTCTATCCTGAAAAAACAAAGAAGACTATAAAAAGGATATAAATTAGTTTGTCTGTCCAACATATTGATCTGTATATACAGGAAAGCAGTTGTTCATTTTCTAACAGCCTTTTCTTTTGTTTTATAGTGATATTGTACTTTAGAAAAAAAGACCTTTTGCTAACAGCCATCTTGATCAAGAATGATTATACTATCCTTGTCTTTTTTCTTCTTTTCAATCCATATCAATAATAATAATTTACTTAATTTGCAGCATAATGACAAGAAGTAAATTAAACATTATGAAACTAGCTAATAGTTCTTTTAAAGTGACTTGTTTCGAATTGTCATTCAATCCAAAAGTTCAATTGTATTTTTATTTAGTGATTATGGAATATTATTGACTTTTTTCAATTCACAGTAGAGTTTGTTCTTGCTCTTTGCACAAAAATAAATCCATATATTTGACATACCTCCTAAACTTCGTGTCATCTTTCTTCTTCTGTATAATGTGCGCTTGATATGTATTTTTCAATATACGTTTACTAAAAGTAACTATTCAAAGGTGGACGAGTTGAATTTTTTTAGTTTAGAAGTTTTGAATTATAATTTTTTTAATTGAATTTTGAATAAATTTTATATATATATTATTTTAATAAAAACACAAGATTTGAGCTAAAATTACAGACTTCTATTAACCTATAATTCCCATTAATGTGGCTACACCATACTGAAAGAAAGACAATTAAATCAGGTGAATATTTCATTACACTAAATATTTTTTTATAAAAGTAAACGAATTCATTTCTATACATATAATCATTGTTTCCCCAAAATGAAAGATGTTCCAATTATTATCAGTGTTTTCAAATTCAACTAAAATCCCATCCAAGTACTGCACGGGAATTTTTAGGGGTTTTTTATTTGGACATTGTTATTATATATATATTTATTTTATTCGCATACTTATTTATTTTTGAATAATATTATATCGATATGGAGTATTTGAAATTTTATATGACAAAAGTTCAAATAAAAATGATCAAATTTAACCAACGTGTGACTAAAGTTTAATCAAAATAAAGTTAAACTTTAACCATATGTGCCCGAAGTTTAGAAAGAATAGTTTTTTGGCAAGGAAAAAATTAATTGAACTTCAACCAAATGTACGTATAAATTTAGCCAAAAATAACTGAACTTCAATCATATGAAACTTTAGGCATTTCACCTAAAGTTGTGTTTTGTCAAGCCTAATCTCATACACCGCATATCTACAATTATTTCAAAGTGAACATACTTATAAACTTGGAAAATTACAAATATATACTATTCGACTAACTAGTTTGAAATATCAACACATGCATTGATTGTATATATTGTGTTTATGTATATATACAAATTTAGAAAGAAAAAATTACGTGAGTTGGCTAACATCTCTAAGTAATTAGTTAATAGGATATAGTTTAATTTAGTTACAGTCAGTAAATATAGTTTCAGTTTTTTTGCCATAATTAATGGGACCCACCACCTCTTTGTATACCGAACCAACAAAGTCCTTGATATGCTTTTGTATATAATTTTATACAAAATCAAATTTATCTCTCCTATCCCCATTCCATAACTTTCTCCTAAAATCACTCTTCCACTTCTAATTTGAATTTCGAATTCCGCCTTCTCCCTCCAGTCGTGCTTTCACTTTTCTCAGGTAACCACCAAAATCGTGGGTGATCCAATTTTTTTTCTTTTTTCCTTCTTCAACAATTGTATATGTATTATGTTTGTTATTTTTTCATGTTTTTTTTAAAAAAAATCTTTCTTACTTATCAGATTATAAGTTTTTCAAAATCAAATTAGATGATTCATCTCCATCTATGAGGATTACGAGAGGTATGTCATTGCATGTCAGTGTTGTTGACGACCCACCTTCGTTTTTAATGGGTTTAAGAGAAAAGCCATAAACATTAATTCAGAGGAGAGTGGATCTGCTTTATCAGAAATTGACAAATCGGAAGAACATCAGGACATGATTTGCATGAAGTGTATGTTTATTTTCTGCTTAAATCACATTTTGTATATTAATATTTGTATAATTTGTTAATATACAATTTTTATTTTGAAGTTTATGTATAATTTCTACCTAAATCACACTTGTATATTGATATGTATTTATACAAATTGCTTGAAGTATATATGTATATTCTTTGCGTAAATCACATTCATATATTGATATTTATATATTTTGTTAGTTATATACAAATTTTTATTTGAAGTCTATGTACAGTTTCTGCCTAAATCACATTTGTATATTGATTTGTGTTTATATAAATTGTTTGAAGTATATGCATATAATGATTTGTATATTGAGTTAATATATACAAATATTGCTTGAGGTATTTGTATATTTAAGTACTATATTCATATACACATACTCATATACATATAAATTTATAGTAACATACAAAGAAAATGTAAATACAAATATAGCTTATTTATACAAATGTTTTAGTTTTGTTTAAAAGCATAAAATAGTGTGCAACACTTAACTGAAACATTTTGTATCTTTAATTTTTTTTATAGGGAATTAGATTCATGCGCAAATATCCAGTTTTGTATATTGATATTTGTATATTTTGTTAGTTATATACAAATTTTATTTTGAAAGTCTATGTATAGTTTCTGCCTAAATCACACTTGTTTATTGATATGTATTTATACAATTTGCTTGAAGTATATATGTATACATATAACTAATCGTATAAAAGTATAAAAAATTACTCGCATTAAAAAACACAATTGCATTCGAATCATATACAATACATATATACAAATCGTATCATTCAACTTTTTTTCAAACAAAAAAAAAGAATAGAATTGTTAATATACGATTTCTCTAATATTGTATAAACAAATACAATTTTTTGCGAAACATCCGAATCAATAAAACAAAAATTATTCGTTATTCAAAATTTTAATTATATACTATATAAATCAATCGTATACTTTCTTGCCGCTTCAAAACATGAAGTTTCCTTGAAAGAAACGATTACCTGGCGTTGAATATACGAAATTATTGATTAAGGGGATGCTTTAGTCGTTTGAGGAGACAAGATGTTATGGACTTTCTATCGCTGTAGAATTCTTTTTTGAAAAAAAATATTTGATTTTGGACGTTTAGCTTAAATCATAGGATTATGTAAATTTCTTGTTGCCGTTTTTAGCGTTCATGATTCAATTTATTTAAAAAATAAAATATTGTATAAATTTTTAACCAAAAAAATGTTATATACAAAATAAATGCTTAATAGCAAACTAAATCATACCTATGAAATGTAATTATATAAATTATACCCATAGAACATTATTTTTAAAAAAATCTATTTGCTTTATATGAGATTTTCCCATTTAAAAACTAGTTGATCAAAGTATTTTGATCCGTAGTCTTTGTCCCAAATGCACACTTCTATAGACCAGGGCAAAAAGGAAAGTCTCGTCCAACCTATTATTTTTGGGCCTTCTTGCCATCCGCATGTATATCATCTCTTCGAAAGAATATTGGCCCATATAAACCTAGCTCAAGAATCAAGAATCTCATCTTACTAGTATAAAGAATGTCTAGAATCTGGATACCCGCCATTATTTTTTCCCGCCAATCTACATCTCTCCCTTACTCGAGAAAAAATGGATGAAAAATTTGAGGAACAGGGCAAGCTTCCCGAGCTTAAACTTGGTAAAACCCTAATCTGTTAAATCTTCCATCATGTGTGTTATTAAATAGATAGTGATTCTGGGTTTTAATTTTAGTTAGTTTGATTGATTGATATGTGTTTAATGTGAATGGTTTCGTTTTAGATGCGAGGCAAGCTCAAGGGTTTCTTTCATTCTTCAAAACCCTACCCAAGGTAAACGTTTATTCAGATTGTTCATTATTTCTACCTTAGCAGAAACAAAAATTATTCTGCTTGTATGGTTAGAGGGTTCGCTTAATGGAGAGCTCTTATTTTCTTTGTTGCAGGATGTTAGGGCAGTTCGTCTCTTCGATCGTCGGGTGAGCCTTCTTTCGTATCTCTGCGCTCTTTTTCTCTTTTTGCAATAATTGTGCTGTCGGGACCAACTTGCACTCCGTGGTTTAGGTAGATGGAAAGAAATGCGTAGCTTTTTTTTTTTTGGTTCTAATGTGATTCTAACCCTGGTCTCTTGTGGTCTATGTTTCAACTAGGACACAATTTTATTAAATGTGTATGAACAAAATCCCACATTGGTAGTTGAAAAGAAAGTAAGCTACTTATAAGGTGTTGGATACTTTTAGTGTCGTGAAGCCTTTAGGGAATAATCGTGTCGTCTCCTTGGTTTTTTTTAGCTTGGGTCTCTTGGTGCTTGCCATTATTATTTGTCTTTGCAACTATATAGTTAGACTACATTCATTTGTGCCATTATTATTTGTCTTTGCAACTATATTGTTAGACTACATTCATTTGTGCTTGTCATAGTATGTTTTTTGTTTAAGCTAATAGTTCCATCTGAATTAGGTAGGTCTCACTTTTTCTTTCTTATCTCCATTAACTGATAGTTATTTCCTTCTCTTTTTTATATGCTTGCCATACTATGCCTTTAAGGTTGTGCAGCATTCCCAAACATTCCGTCTTTTCTGCTACCTATAGTTTTTGTTGGCTGGTTGAATAGCCTGTTAAAACTTCTTTCTGTTTCTGTGTCTTGTTTTATGTCTGGTAATTAGGTGCTATTAGAAATTTGTTCTGTGAAGTCTAAACCTTCATGCATGTGTGTGATCTTTGGTCCTTTCATTGTTTAACCAGAAACCCTTTTTTGTTTTTGTTTTTGTTCCAGTGTGCATTTTCTTCTGTCATAAAATATAATGTATCCTTTCCTTTTAGGACTATTATACTGCCCATGGAGATGATGCAACTTTCATTGCAAAGACATATTACCATACCACAACTGCTTTACGGCAGTTGGGTAGTGGAGTTGGTGCTCTTTCCAGTGTTAGTGTGAGTAGAAACATGTTTGAAACAATAGCTCGTGATATTCTCTTGGAGAGGATGGATCGTACTCTTGAATTGTATGAGGGAAGTGGTTCAAACTGGAAACTGGTCAAAAGTGGAACCCCAGGAAATTTTGGAAGTTTTGAGGATATTCTGTTTGCTAATAATGAAATGCAAGATTCTCCTGCGATTGTTGCTCTTGCGCCAAAATTTGATCAGAATGGATGTACAGTTGGGTTAGGCTATGTTGATATTACTAAGAGAGTCCTTGGTTTAGCAGAATTTCTAGATGATAGCCACTTCACCAATTTGGAGTCTGCTTTGGTTGCTCTTGGTTGCAGAGAATGTCTTGTACCAACAGAGACTGGGAAATCCAGTGAGAGCAGGCCTCTATATGATGCAATATCGAGATGCGGGGTGATGGTAACTGAAAGAAAGAAAACTGAATTTAAAGGTAGGGATTTGGTACAGGATCTTGGTAGGCTTGTCAAGGGTTCAGTAGAACCTGTTCGAGATCTAGTCTCTAGTTTTGAATGTGCAGCAGGTGCTTTGGGGTGCATACTTTCCTATGCAGAACTACTTGCGGATGAGAGCAATTATGGAAACTTCACAGTCAAACAATACAACCTCAATAGTTACATGAGATTAGATTCTGCTGCTATGAGAGCACTGAATGTTATGGAGAGCAAATCAGATGCTAATAAAAATTTTAGCTTGTTTGGTCTCATGAATAGAACCTGTACTGCTGGAATGGGTAAAAGGTTATTGCACATGTGGCTGAAACAGCCGTTACTAGATGTAGATGAGATTAACTGTAGACTGGATTTAGTTCAAGCATTTGTGGAGGATGCTGCACTTCGCCAAGATTTGAGGCAGCATCTGAAAAGAATTTCAGATATTGAGCGGCTGACACACAATCTTGAGAGGAAAAGAGCCAGTTTACTGCACGTTGTAAAACTCTATCAGGTTCTTTTTCTGTTCTCCTTTTCTCCATCTCCCTCTTGTTCGCCTGACTCTGTAGTTTTCAATCAGCTACACAGAGAGAAGTACAAATGGCTTTAATCCCCTCTTTTCTTAGCTAAATAATGCACAGGTTCTGGCATAACTTTTTCTTTTCTTCATGTGCAGTCAGGCATCAGAATACCATATATCAAAAGTGTTTTGGAACGTTATGATGGGCAATTTGCACCACTAATCAGGGAAAGGTATATTGATTCTCTTGAGAAATGGAGTGATGATAATCATCTGAATAAGTTCATTGCTCTTGTGGAAACTGCTGTTGACCTTGATCAACTTGAGAATGGAGAATACATGATTTCTTCTGCATATGACTCAAATTTATCTGCTCTGAAGGATGAGCAAGAGACATTAGAGCAACAGATTCATAATTTGCACAAACAAACTGCCAATGATCTTGATCTACCTATTGATAAGTCTCTTAAATTAGATAAAGGAACACAATTTGGACATGTCTTCAGAATTACCAAGAAAGAAGAACCAAAAGTCAGGAGACAGCTTAATTCTCACTACATTGTTCTTGAAACACGTAAGGATGGGGTAAAGTTCACCAATACAAAACTCAAAAAACTAGGAGATCGGTACCAGAAGATCTTAGATGAGTATAAGAGCTGTCAGAAAGAACTGGTAGCTCGGGTAGTTCAAACAGTTGCGAGTTTCTCCGAGGTGTGTATATATTTGATATATTTTTGTTGAGCCTCCTCTTCTTCCCCAGCGCATTTATCTGAGTTTACCAAGTATTGGCTTTCCAGGTGTTTGAAGGTTTAGCTGGTTCACTTTCTGAGTTGGATGTGCTACTGAGTTTTGCAGATTTGGCTTCCAGTTGCCCAACTGCCTACTCAAGACCAAATATCAGTCCACCAGTAAGGACATTTTTTTCTCTTCCTGTGTAAGATGATACTGATGCCATGTTAAATAAATTATATACAGCTAAATTTGGTGATTTGCCATATAGGATACGGGAGATATTATACTTGAAGGGTGTAGACATCCTTGTGTGGAAGCTCAAGACTGGGTCAACTTCATCCCTAATGACTGTAGACTAGTATGTGTCCTATAGTGTTGAAATGTTCTGGTCTCTGATATTTTCTCTTCACAGCATTATAACATACTTCTCTGGTCTTCTCAGGTTAGGGGAGAAAGTTGGTTTCAGATTATCACAGGCCCTAACATGGGTGGAAAGTCTACCTACATTCGTCAGGTGTGAGTTCAGTATTTTGCTGAAACTTCGTTTTGCCTTATTTACAATCTCACTAGGTATGTGAGGGACAAGTTGTCCATCAAATAAATGTTGATGTAACTAGGAATTGCTTTTTGGCTATTCCTGCTTGTGAGGCTGTTTCTGTATATTCAGTTATTTACAGAATTCATAATCATTTGCTTGAAGATCTGATTCTATTTGTATTCCAGTATTTTTCTGTATTGAGTATTCATGCGTTATTCCTATATTAAATCCGTCTCTCTAAAAAGTACCTTAATTATTTGGCAAATTTCACCAATAGGTTGGTGTGAATGTCCTGATGGCCCAAGTTGGCTCATTTGTTCCATGTGACAATGCTACCATTTCTATTCGTGATTGCATTTTTGCTCGTGTTGGCGCTGGAGATTGCCAGGTGAGAACATATCCTTGTTGAATATCTAGATACTAAAGTATCTACTGATGTCTTAAAAGTCCACCCCGTTCTAGTTCTGATTAAGTGTCTCATTTTCCAAAAATAGTTGATCTACATGTTAAATTAGCTTAAATAAGTTTCATCTAACTGGCTTGTTCATTGTGTTGTAGATGTTTTCTACTTCTCTTTTGGTATTATGCCTTTTTAGTGAAAAGGCTGTGCTTGATTATGGAGCTGAAGTTGTGTCTGCATAGGTTTTAAAAAAAAATCTGAAGTCTTTGCACATAAAGTTGAATTGCATTCAGTGTTACTGCTCAACAAAATTATGTATTTCCTTACTAAGTGAGTGATCTTAATCTCCAAAAGAAAAGGGAAGCCTTGTATATGGTCTTGCCTTCAGTAAGTACTTGATTCCACAATCTCATCAAATGCGCTCCTGGCTCTCCTATGTACTCAAAAGGAATGGAGAACTTCAATTTATTCAGCTTCTTTAAAGTTTTACAACCTCTGCCCTCCAAATAGTCCCATACTATGCATGCGGGAACTATCAATGTGTTGTTTAATCCAGAGGCGAATCTAGGATTTTTCGAACATGGGTGCACCAAGTAAAATGTATTGAAGTGAGAATTGATCCTAATCCTCAAGGTCAAAAGCTCAACATTTAACCATGTGGACCGTTTAGACTTTTTGTAGTACGGGTGCAAGAATATAATATTATACAAAATCTTAAAAAATATACATATAAAATATCTAATTTTACGAAGAGAGCACGGGTGCGATTGCCCTTTTTTTTGGCTCTAAATTCGCCACTGGTTTAATCCACACCTAAGCCTTCTGACTACTTGCTGCAACAGTGCAAAACACATCTTCAACTGCCTGTTGCATAGCTCACTCATACTAAACACATTAAACATCAGTACATCAGGTATAGTGTCGATCCTACCTGCCACACCAATTGGACAATAATGCCTTGAATTTCACCACATTTGTCCTACTTTTTGATGTTGTAGTAGAATGACCAATGTCTTTCCCTGCCTCTTCATACACGAAGTGTTCGGGACTAGATATTTAGGTTAGAAACAGCTGGTATTTCATAATCTTCCATTTGCCCAAAAATAAATTGTATTCTTTTATGTGTTGTTCGTTTATTTAATAGTTGTCACTATTTTGTTCTGTTGGTTTCCTGAATAACTAAAGGAACTAAGAGACTTGTGTTTTTCCTTCTTCCTCTTTGAATCAGCTGAAGGGGGTTTCTACTTTTATGCAAGAGATGCTTGAGACTGCATCGATCTTGAAAGGAGCTACTAATAGATCATTGATTATAATTGATGAGTTGGGCCGTGGGACGTCGACTTATGATGGCTTTGGTGAGTTTCTAATTTGTGAATTTATATAAACATCATTTCTTAGAAATTTCAACACTTGTATTTTCTGGACTTGGTTTGCTCTCTTGTATTGCATCATTACATGATATAGATGTCCTGGACCTGTCATGTAACCCATGTGAAGCTTCCCCTTTAATTTGATTGGTATGAGATTTTTTGCGCAAACATCCTTTTCCACATGGGAAAGAATACACAAGCAGAGTAAAAACCATTATATGTGTCGTCTCCCAATATGCTTTCTGGTAAATATTCTTGTCATGGAATAAGGGCAGTACTCATAATCTGTCTGCAAGAAATCTATAATTTGGTGATTTATTGAAGTTTAAAGTGAGTTATACTAAAATGTGATTTTGGCTATCTGATGCACGTTAGCAAAGGTAATGCAAACAAACATTTGAAATAGTAGGATTGCATTGGAGAGTGAACATTACTGAACTTGGGTTTATTTCCTTGGCAACTTTGTTAAGTCATCAGGTTGTTTCACCACTACTTCATAACTGTTTCGTGTATTTTACTCACATTATCAGGTTTAGCTTGGGCTATTTGTGAGCACATTGTTGAAGAAATTAAAGCACCAACATTGTTTGCAACTCACTTTCATGAGCTGACTGCATTGGCCAATGAGAATGGAAACAATGGACATAAGCAAATTGGTGGTGTGGCAAATTTTCATGTCAGTGCACACATTGACTCTTCTAGTCGCAAGCTAACTATGCTTTACAAGGTATGTTTATCTTCCTCTCTTTCTGGCTACTTCTGGCTCATTCTCGTTTTGTCCCAGTAATTTTGAAGTGCCTTTTTTTTTTTTGGTAAACTGTGAAAAACTTACCATAACCAACAAAGTAACAATACACACTAAAGAGCACCTAACAACCAATACCACCTTCTAGGAAGGGTGTAAAGGATAGAGGGGCCTCAACAAAATCAAATAAACTAATTACAAGTCAATTTCTGTATGTATCCTCGACACCTATGAGCTTTCCTAGACAACTTAAGAAGGTCTAATCTCTCTACAATTTCCTTGATCTGGACTATCACTGTCTGCCTGTACAATTGTATGCTTAAATTTTTTCGAGTTTCTAGCTCTCCAAGTGTGATATATAACAGCTCCCCATATAGCAGCCACTATCTCTTTTTTGAATTGCTGCCAATGCTTAGCTTTGTTACTTTTCAGTTTTCAGCACTTGCTTAACTTCACCTGCTAGTTGCTGCACATCAGCCCATGTCAGTATTTTTTCACTTGCTTGAATCAGTCACTCTCAACAAATAAATGCTTTGTAGTTTCTATCAGTTGTCCATCGCATAAACAACATGTACCATCTTCATCGCATAATTTTGATGTGCTATGAGTAGTTTATTTTCAGTTAAATTTAATTTTTTTAAAACAGTTTCTTTCCTGATCAACTTGCAACTGTCAGGTTTGAGAAAGTTTGATCTTTATTTAGGATGATTTTTAATATATAACCAGGGAACTTTTGTATCACTCACATAAGTGGAGTAGCAGCTAATATGGATATCATAAAAAAATGATAGAAAACGCACTTGTTATGCTTTATAAACATGTGGTTTCACAACATTGCTTCATAGCTGATTGAATTCAGCTTATGGTGATCAGTGAGCACTTTCCATTAATTGCTTAGTTAGTATATCTCTGTACCCTATTTATGTCAGAATCTGTTTTATATATGTTATGGCTTCACATGCAATCTGAAGTTTATTTGATGACCGCACCAAAACATCACTTGAAGTAGTTGATTTCACAACTTTTAACTTTTAATATAGAACTCTTGTAAACATGGACTGAAAAACTAGTTTCCTGCGCTTTTTAGATTTTGAGCAGTTGCTCAGCATCTAATTGTTGTGCCCTTCCAGGTTCAACCCGGTGCTTGTGATCAAAGTTTTGGTATTCACGTTGCAGAGTTTGCCAATTTTCCACAAAGTGTTGTGGCCCTGGCCAGAGAAAAGGCTTCTGAGTTGGAGGATTTCTCTCCTAATGCTATGATGCCAACTGACAGTAAAGAGGTATTTTCCTTTGGTTACTTTCCTATGCTCATCACAAATATCATTAAAAAATCAGTGTCCTTTCATTTAAATTTAGGATCATGTTTGGCTGTTGGCAACCCTGCCTAGATGCATTCTTAAATCTCCTTTGTTTCAAAATCATATGCAAGATTGCTAAATAGGTCTGGTCTACCTATATGATAATGTAAAAATGGTCGTTCTGTTATTTAAGCTTTTGGTGATCTTAATCATTCAGATCTCATTTGATGCTTTTGAATGGTCAATGGTGTCATAGTAAAACTTCTATGGCATCTTGCTCTGCTCTGTTGCTTATTGCTTTTAGGTGTGTGTATTAGGGTGCACTTGTGCACTTGCATGCTGTAATATCCTCTTGGAAAACAATATAGTGGCACTATCACATGTAACTTTATTTTCCCCATGTCTTCTTCGAGGCAGGGGACATGTAACCAGATTTTAGTTCAAATACCAACCGAGAGTACTACCCTCAAGTTTTTAGTTATTGTGGATGTATAATCTTGTCTTTGTTCTTCCAGGCAGTCTCAAAGCGGAAGAGGGAATTTGACCCACATGATGTGTCTAGAGGTACTGCCCGAGCTCGTCAATTCTTACAGGATTTCACTCAGTTGCCTCTGGATAAGATGGATCTAAAGCAGGCCTTGCAACAGTTGAGCCAAATGAAGACCGACCTTGAGAAGAATGCAGTTGACAGTCAGTGGCTTCAGCAGTTCTTTAGTTCTTCAGATTAGAACTATCTTCTACTCTATGAAGCCTGGGGTGGGAAAACAATACTGTTGGTTTTGTGTGTATAACTTGGGCCAAATTTTGAAGCTGTATTTAAATCCTTACCCCCGAACATGATCCTCTGTATATTTTTGTATGCACCCTGTGTTATTTATAGTAAATGTTATGTTATGGTCATCCAAAAGAATTACGTTAAACCCCAACAATGGCGGTACAAGAAGATCCAGCATCCATGACATTACCATTTAAATTATCGAACATTTTGTGACAACATGATCAAGATCCCTATCATATTTAATAACTCATGCTTTCTACCTTGAAATTTAGCATCTCTTTTTATTTACTACTGTAATATTAGAGATTAAGTGATTTCTTTCAGACGGTATCCAAACTTAGGCTGGACAAGCCTAGCTAACTACTTTCAGCTCATATTTAACATGTTATCAAATCCAATTACATCTAATTCTGGCAAAATAGAACAATGAAGTGAAACATTTAGGAGAGATAATATTATAAACATATTTTCTTATGAAGAACACTATTAATGTTCGGTGATATATTGAATTTAATGTCAGACTTTGAAATTCCTCTTTTTTTTTCTCTCCATTCTTGTTTGCACAAAAATTTAAGCATAACTGTGAACTTGGAAACCAACCCCTCTCGGAAATAGAGTAGTATTTACAGAGAGAGCATAAGTGGACATAAATTTGACTGGTAGTTGAATAAACACACAAGAAAAAAGTAAGTTTTCTAGTGTAGTTAAGTCTTTGTTGCACCTGGAACCATTACTCCAGTATTTAATTAAGTGCAGGTCAACTCTTACTTTGTTGCTCTAAACTACCCACAATACCATAAATATCCTGACATTAATTTTGCAACTAACCAAAGAAATATACTCCATGTGTGAAGTCTTTTTTCCGCACCAGTTTATACTAATTTTACGAAATACCTGTCACTTCCCACCTCCCACTAGAAACAAGTACTAACCTTTAAATGAAGAGTAAATACAGGGGAGGGAAAAAACATCTTTTCTTAAAACTCAAGAAATGCCTTCTGTAAATGAAAAGATAGTGGACGAGAAAGAAGATAGGAAAAGTAATAGGAGAAGAAAATAATTAATGTGCCACTAAATTTATGGATTATTTAATAATGCAATTAAATCCTAGAAGAAAATGTCTCTGTCTGTGACTTTGACAGGAAAAGGTCACTGAGATTTGAGGCATTAAATCAGATATTCCTTGTTGAAAATTTGGTAGGAAATTGATAGATTATCTTGTAATGAAGCATTGATTGAGCCACACCAAATAAACATAGAAGACAATTGGAGTTTTGAAATATATTTTCTTAAATATATCATACTAATATATGAATGTACCATCAACATGGGTTGTGGTGCACTGATGAGAGTGTTTCACCCTTAACCAGAGGTTTCGGGTTCGAGCCTTGGGTATTGAGAAAATCCTGTTGGGAGCGCCACCCTTGAATGAGCCCTGCAGAGCGCGATCCGAATTTAATCGGAGCTTCAATGTGGGCTCCAGACATCGGGTGGAAAATAAAAAAAGAAGAAGAATGTACCGTTTTTTATAATATACTAATAAAAAAATAATATTAAACAAAGTAGAACGTTGGAAGTACCGAATAACGGGAAAAAAAAGAAGTTCGTGTCAAAGCAAAGAATTAAAATTTATTTTCTCATTCCGTTCCTTTGTCAAAATAATAAAGAATGAAGAAAGATCTAGAGAATGAGCAGATGATTTCAGATAACATTATTTGGTGCAATTTTAACTAGGGGTGGGCATAAATATCGAAAAACCGAAAAATTGAACCGAACCGAAAAAATTCGGTTCTTCGGTGTTGGTTTTTTTTTTCGGAACTTCGGTTCTTCGGTTCGGAGTTCGGTGTAAGGGTCCCGAAACTACGGTGCACCGAAGAACCGAAGTTTTATTAAATAAATTTAAAAGTATTTATTATATTACTTAATTTTTAACTTTACTTGGCCCATTTCAATTTTTATATTTAGATCCTAAACTTAAATAGCAAAAATCTTAACAACAAAATAGTAAACCATAAAGACCTAAAATCTAAACTAAACAAAACTCAATTTAATTCAAGTTTGAGCAGCAACTTGGTGTTTCTACTTTCTACTTTATGATTTTATCATTTTATGTTGTTACTTTGAAGTGAGAACAACAAATTGATGTTCTTACCTTTTATTGTTAGACGGTTAGTTGTTACTTTGAAGTTTGAAGTGAATAACAATTGTTACTTTATCATATTCTCTCTTTATTTTTGTTGATACCGAAAAACCGATTTAAAAACACCGAACCGAAGTAGAAAAAATCGAACCGAACCGATCTAGTTTGATTTGAAATATGGTGCACACTTTTCTAAAACCGAATACCGAAAAACCGAACCGAAATTTGATTAAACCAAACTGAAGAACCGAACACCCACACCTAATTTTGACCAGTTTTAAAAGAGTATTCATCCATTTTTCCCTTACAAACAAATGTTAATAATATACACTTATCTGCCTTTATTCTTAATTAATCTAATTAGATAAAATTTTCGGATAGAAGAATTTACACAATGAGTGATTACTGGAGATATATACTTAGGGGAAAAGCCACTTGTAGTAACAAGTCCCTCTGTTTCCCTACACTTCTCATATAACTATTGTTTTAACTCAAAAATCTTATCCCAAAATAATTTTTACTTTACAAAGTGCTTTCATGTTTTTTTTTTTTTTTTTTACCCTCCCTAGGAGCTCCCACCCCTTTTGCTCCCTTGATGACTCGAACTCGCAATCTTCGGATTGAAAGTGAGGAGTGTTTACCATCCGAGCAACTCCCTCTTGTCAAGTGCTTTCATGTTAAAAACGGCTTTACTCTAAAAAAAAATTAAAAAATCTAATAAATTAAATAATTTAGTAAATTACTTTTTATTTATATATTAAAAAAAGGGAAAAGGGTCAAAAATGACCTTAAACTATGCGAAGGAACAAAAATGTCCTCTATTTATAGTTTGGCTCAAAAATGCCTTGTAGTCAATACTTTGGTTCAGAAATACCCCTATAGTTACTAAATGGATCAAAAATGCCCTTTTTTGAATAAATATATTTCTTCCCCTCCTTTTAAACATCTCGTCCTCTTAATTAAAATATTATTAAAGAATCATGTTCTCGTTTTCTTTCTTTTAAAATCACTTTAACAAATAAAAATGTAGGAAATATTTTTTTCTTCTTAATCTCATTTTATCAATTAAAATATAATAATTTTGTGTACCATTTCGACATATAATATATGTCATATATAAAATATCATAATATATCCATCATTAATTTATATTTATATAAGAAGAAATATTTTTTTTTTTTTTTTCTGAATTGAAGTAAGATAAACATTTCCTAATTTTAAAAATATTATTAGAAAAAGAAATATGTTAAAAAGAAAACAAATAATATATTTATTTGGAAAATGTGCATTTTTGACCCATTAAACAACAAGAGCAATTTTGGACTAAAGTATTGACACAGTAAAGACATTTTTGGACCAAACTATAAACAAAGAGAATTTTTGTTCCTTTCACATAGTTTAAGGGCATTTTTGATCCTTTTCTCTTAAAAAAACAATCAAGCTTTACGTACCCTTGTCATTAGGTGATAAAAATGTATGTACTATTTTTCGTTCACTTTTACTTGCCTATTTTGAATTTTGCACGACTTTTAAAAAGGTAAAGGGGTATACATACATACAAACAAATAAGTGGGAGTTAGTTTTTACCGGTGAGTGCTATGTATGAAAGCTTGCTTCCCTCCATTAATGCATGGTTTCTTATTCAAACTTTATACGTGAGCTCCTTTCCTTTCTCTCTTTTCTCACCTTTCGCCTTTTCCTTCTCCTCCTATTTATATCCATTCCTATCTTCACTTCTTACATTCATCATTTCTCTTTACAACAAACTATAATGGCCTCGTCATTTTCCAATTTCCTTTCCTTGATCATCATCTCTGTTTCTTTCCTTCCTAATGCTCTCTGTCGTCGATCAATAACTTCTTCGCTTCCACATTCCCAAATCCTCGATGTCTCAAAATCCACTCAGAACACTCTTCAAGTACTCTCTCCCAATATCAAATCTCTCCAACAACAAGAAGCAATAGAACAACAACAACCGCTTTATTCGTCTTCCTCTGCATTCTCTGTATCAATCTATCCTCGCTCTTCTATTGTGAAACCCCAACACACAGACTATACATCTCTCACTATCTCCCGACTTGCTCGTGATTCAGCACGAGTGTCCTCACTCAATGCTATGCTTCAACTTTCTCCCTCTAATTTTACTTATTCTCATCTCAAATCGGTTAGAACCATGTCGGGACCTGAAGAATTTCAGACCCCTCTTATATCTGGATCAAGTCAAGGCAGTGGCGAGTATTTTGCTCGGCTAGGAGTTGGAGAACCTGCGAAGGAATTTTACATGGCTATTGATACTGGCAGTGATATTAATTGGCTTCAATGTGAGCCCTGTGACGAATGTTACCAACAAACTGATCCTATTTTCAATCCGTCTGATTCCTCCACATACAATCAGCTCTCATGCGACTCACCGGTGTGTGCGGCACTTGAACTCTCGGGCTGTTATACCGATAATTGTATGTATCAAGTCTCCTATGGAGATGGTTCATTTACAGAAGGGGAATTAGCGACTGAAACGGTGTCGTTTGGAGACTCTGGATCGTTCCCTAATGTTGCTATAGGATGTGGCCATGATAATGAAGGGTTATTTACCGGGTCAGCTGGGTTGTTAGGTCTCGGCGGCGGCTCACTATCTCTTCCATCTCAAGTCAAAGCGACGTCGTTTTCCTACTGCCTTGTAGATCGTGATTCTGATTCTTCATCGACTTTGGAATTCAATTCCGCCGGACCTAGTGACTCGGTGTTTGCACCATTGCTTCGTAACTCGAGGAGGGATACTTTTTTCTACGTAGGTCTCGAAGGAATCAGCGTCGGCGGCGAGATGTTGCAGGTTCCGGCGAGTATTTTCCAGATGGATGATAATGGGAGGGGAGGAATTATCGTGGATTCTGGAACAGCGGTGACTCGTTTGCAGAGCAGTGCTTACAATGCTTTACGTGACACGTTCGTGAAGTATGCTCAGAATTTGCCGTCAGCCGGGGAATTCGAGTTGTTTGATACTTGCTTTGATCTATCGTCGATGAGTACGGCGAACGTTCCGACGGTGGCGTTTCATTTCTCCGGTGGGCGAACGCTGCCGTTGCACGCGCAGAATACCGTGGTCCCGATAGACTCGTCGGGGAAGTACTGCTTAGCGTTTGCTCCGACGGATGAATCAATATCGATAATCGGAAATGTACAGCAGCAGGGGACACGTGTCAGTTATGACCTGACTAATAACCTTGTTGGATTTAGTCTTGATAAATGTTAGCAGTGGCAAAGCTGCATTAAAATAAAAAGACTTTTTTAAGTAAGAAAGAGGAAAACAGACGAAGAACTGATCCCAATAAAATATTTGGTGTGCTATAATTTTGTTATCATCTGAATGGTGTGATGACTAGGTTTCTGGGCATAACAACTCCCAGCTCGAACTTAAATATACCACAACATATATTGGTGTGATAAACTTTAATAGAATTTTTTTATATCCAAGCTTGAACTTTAACGATACTACAAAACATATTGGTGTGGTGAACTTCAATAGAATTTTCTTCATATTTAGCGTTGAACTTAACTTCATTGCATAGAAATATATAAATTTGGCTGGCAAGGCTCATAACATGTTGGTGTGCTACTAGACTCAACCTCAATGCATAAAAATATATGAATTTGACTGGCTAAACTCGCAACATGTTGGTGTGATGAACTAGGCTCGAACTTATAACTTTAATGTGTGGAAATATATAAATTTGGCTGGTCATAAATTTTAATTCACCATCCGCATACATTAATTCTAATAGAAGAAGAATCCTTCTGTTGCGCTAAAAAGGGAATAAAATCTGAAAATCTAATTAAATCCATAAATTACGCTTCCATTTCTTCTTACTCTCAATCATACATAGGCAAATCCAGAACGAAGAAATTCAAAATTTGAAATTGCTCCCCCCTGTTCAACGAAGAAACCTTTCATATTTGATTCAAAAACTTTGTCGAAATTATGGGTTAGATAGGTGAGTTATGAAGGATACAAAAGTGATGAAATTGTTGTTGGACAAACGATTTCCTTTTGAATCTTCAAGTCATCGAAGATGTTTTCAATTTTGGTTCAAGTTGTTTGGATTTGCTATGTATACCCTCTGTTTTTTAATTTTTTAATTTGTATATTGATATATAAGTCGTGATACATTACTAGTTTGATGTTTATGTAATGTGTTTTTAGATCCCAAAATTCTTCTTGCCATTCTTTCAAAAAAATTCTCAATTTTTAAATCAAACTTGTCGACAAATTGTACTAATACAACATGAACATGTCGATCTTGTTGAGACATTCCAGAATCTGAGAAAGTGAGGTGAGGTATGAACGATACAAAAGTGATGGAATTGTTGTTGGTCAAATATTAGTTTGTGAATCTCAAATCAGTCATTGCAACTGAATTAGAGATCGATGAGTTGAGAAAAAAATTGGAGTTCTGATACATTGTTGAGGTGAAGAAACAAGAGTTTGGATTTTTAATGTATCCGTTATGCATTGATACAACAAACAAAAAGGCTGAAGAGATGCATAACTTTGATAGATCATTCATACCTTTTATAATGTTGTGAAATCGTTTTTTGAATTTCATTTTCGAGATTGATAGATTTATCAATATATTACTATTTATGTATCCTGTTTAAATTGATAAGTGTTGTATTTCTACTAGTTACATTAAATAAGAAATTGTTGTCCATAAGATGTTAGGTTTAAGATCGATACATTACTGTTTGGTAATTGTTATGTATCAAATAGATTTAGTATATATTCGAATTTACGTATCATGCATAAAAAAATAGTGCATGATACATTATTATTTATGTAAATTATTTTGTTTGAGAGCAGAATCCATATGTATTAGGAATATGTAGATGAAAAGGTTGATATATGATAAATAATACATTTGGTAGAATTTTTGTATCAAGTATCAATACTAATTAAGGTTATGTATCAAAACTAATATTTGAACACGATACATTGTGCATGATAGAATTATAATGTATCATGATATTGAAAAGAAGGCAATATACATTAGTTTAAGAAACAAAATCAACTAGATACATTAAAAATTTGAACCTATATGTATCAGAAAAGATGAACAACCAAAAAATCGAAAAAAAGTCAACAATCTAATCAATGGAAAGCAACGAATTGAGTAAGCCCAATACTGAAAGATCGAACCAATGGAATGAAGTGTATCAAGATCGCCATTAGAAATTCCTGGAACAATTTCAAATGCACTCCAAGATGAACTCTCTGCATTAGCAACGTTTTCCACCCCTCTTCCAGTAAAAAAACTGTGAGTTATGTCATAAGATTGATGATCAATAAACAGATGAAAAACTGACAACAAAGCATTATGTTAGCAATCACAATTACCTTCCCACATCTCCTCGTCACATGTGTTTAGGAGATCCTTTTGTCAATGCTTAATCAATCACTATTTTATTTTAGTTTTAGTTTTTAAGATGAAAAAAAAAAACTAATTTAAAAAAAAATAAAAATTGAAAATTGAAGTGATGGAAAGAAATCTATCTCTTGAATAACTTGAAATCATTAATTGGAAAGAGAAAAGATTTGAAATTCAAAAATGGATTATTGGGAGCAAAAGTGGGAATTTTTGATATTTTTTGAAATGATAGAGAAAATAAGAAAATATAATAATAAATGGTGTGTAGTTAGATAATTTTTCCTAACTTGAATGTGTGGAAATATGTAAATTTGGCTGGTCATAAATTTTGGAACAGCTGACAAAAGGAAAAAAGTAGAACGCCGCTGCCGGGGATCGAACCCGGGTCACCCGCGTGACAGGCGGGAATACTTACCACTATACTACAACGACTTGCTTGTTAACACGTAGTCAGCTTTTTTTAATGTTGGGTCTTCAACATGCAACAACACCAAAACTTTATATCACTTTAGTTTTTCTGGATCCACAATATTAAAAATGCTAATTGTTGTACTTGAGATAGTGAAAGGCTTATGGGATAGGGGTATTATGCATTATGACATTAAAAAAGATAACCCTAACTAAATCGATAAATCGATCGTGAAGTGATAGTAGTTTTTATGAAACCAAATCTTATTTTAAAAACCAGAGAGCTTATGAAAGAGGTGATAGAGCAAAATCTTAAGTAGATAACTTATTGAAGACAATACCAAAAGCATTATCTTCATGAATTTATTCAAAATGGCTCAAAGACAATTATGCCTTTCCTCAAAAGGAAGACATGATTGAACTACGAGTGAGCTGGGCATATCTATTTTCTTTGATACTTCTTTTAGAGAGAAAAACTTACTTAATGAAGATTTGAATTACTTTTGACTTTCGACTATTTTCGTAGGAAAAACCAGAGGCGTATCTAGGATTTCAGCTAGATGGGTGCACGATTACGAAAAAATATATTTTAAATATAAATTTGATCAATTTGACTTTTAGTTCGTATATGAATCATTAAATTTTAAAAATTATAGGTTCAAAATGTATAATACTACTAATTTTAAATTTTAATATACACATTTGATTTAATTATATCAAATATTTACAATATTAAATTTTTTAGGAATTTTCAATGTAACACACTTGAAAATTTTGAAGGATTAAAGGAAAAAAACAAAAGCAAAATTAGCTGAAACGTCAAAAGTGTAACTGATAACCACTTGGAAAGGTGTTACTCACAGAGACAAGATAGATATAAGATTTAAATTTATATCCTCACTTAGAAAGGTGCACCCAATCATCATCGCATTATTATATGATATACTTTGAACATGGGTTCACACATCTATATTTAAATATTTTATAAAAAATATAACACTACTATACATGATCTAGAGAGGGGAGCATGGGTTCACGTGAACCCACGACATCCCCTCTAGATACGCCTCTGGGAAAAACTAGATGTCATTATTACATGATCTATATTTAGTTATTATACCATAAATCAGTTTTAAGCTTGATTTCCATATATTTCTCCAATGATAAAACTAGTATTATCGATAATAGTTTATCTACCTAATCGAGATCGACTTAGTCGAAGCTATACAAAAGTTCATCTTTTAAGTACAAGCATTTGTAGTTATTCATTTGTCAACATTCCTTTTTTTTTTCTTCTAATTTTCAGCTTCCAAACATAGGCTGATTGACGAATTTTAAGACTTGAAAGATCACAAAACATAAACATGGGGAGCTTGCTTAAGTTAAAGAATTGAAAAATAAATAAAAATATACAGATGGTTTTCAGAAACCGTAAATTTACCAACAAAGTAATTTTATAGAACACTTTTGACAAATGACTAATTTAGTGAGTTCAACACAACAATAATTATTATTTCAATTTAATATCAGGCTTAGAAGTGTAAGCTTACTTTTGACTACTTTCTGACAAACTGCAAGGAAGTATTCCACTAGAATGGAATGCAGAATTGCAAAAAACTACAAATAAGCTTGATCTCGCAATTGAACCATCTATTATTTTAAACCGACTTCTCTATAACGTTAAACACATAATAATTGAAAATTAGGGGTATGCATTCGGTTTTTCGGTTTGGAATTTTCGATTTTTGGTTTTGTAAAAGTGTAACCCAATCCGATCCAAAATAAATTTGATTTGGTTTGGTTTTCCTCTATTCGGTTCGGCTTTTTTCAGTTCAACTTTTTTCGGTTTGGTTATTCGGTTATGTCAATAATTAATAACATAACCAAAGTAATAATATTTAATCCCTTAAATATACTTTCTAATATAAATCATAAGTAAAACTTAAAACACAATACTTATAAGTATACCTATTAATTCAGAGGCGGATCTAGGATTTAGAGTCACTGGGTGCCAAGCAGAGGCGGACCCACATGATTTGATAGGGGTGCACGTGCATCCGTTAACTTTTTAAAAAATCATGTGTATATATGTATATTTATCGTGAGAAACTGACATAAAGTAAGATATAATCAACAGTGCACCCATAAGAAGTGTAGGGGTGCCCTTGTTTAGTTGGAACAAGCCAGAGGAACCACTCGCGAGAATACGGTTCAAATCTAGCTAGAGTCTTATTTCATTATTTTTATTTTAAGTTTAGCTTAGAAATCATATTTGTGCCATTAGTTACCAACCAAATACTACATTATTCGCTAATTGTAGTAAAGTTTCGTTAACTACCTAAATTAAGATAGTATTGGTGCATCGAAATTTTTAAATTTTGAATTCGCCTCTAATGCCCAGTAAACTCATCGATTAAATCAA